TGTTCCCTCTCTCTCTCTCTCTGTCAAATAAATAAATAAAATCTTTAAAAAAAAAAAAAAAGAAAGAAAAAGCCTTTAACTTACAGGAACCACCTATGCGAATGGAGGGAGCAGTGCGGTATCCAAGCACAAAAGGAAACGGTCTGGCCACGTTTTCACCAGGCTTCCTCTGTCTTCAGCTCTTCTCTGGTCCATGGTCAGCTTTTGCTACAAAACCCCATTTGACCTTAGATCCTCCAGATTTTTTTTGTTTGAAGGAAGAAGATTGTAGAATTCAGAGTGAAGAGTTCCAGAGGACTCCTGAATTTGCCTCAAATAGAAATATGGGCAGAACTAAATTGGAAGCTTAATTGAAAGAATTTGGCTACTTTTAATCTATGGGTATTTTTCTTGGCTGGAAGTCAGGTTGGAAAAAGAAATTATATAGACTCAGGTTTGTTTGTTTTAATTGCTTCTAAGAGAAAGTGAGTAATCATAGGTCTCATTTATGGATATCTGCTATGTGCCAAGTATTCTATATATATTCATTATATCATGTAAAGCACTCAACAGCCTTGCAAGGTAGGTATTATCCCATCTTAAAGATAAGAAAACCTAGACTCAGGGAGTTTAGTAAATTGCCTGAGGTCACCCACGTGGTAACTGGGAGAGTAGGAATCAAGCCCAGATCTGTCAAATTCCAAAGATCATATTCTTTCCAGTATACCGTCCTGTTCTTGATTCCTTTTAGGCTCCGGATACTGTACACACACTTTATTTCCAACCCAGAAGTTAGAGATTTGCTCATTTGATGGATGAGGAGAGAGGCTCAGAGGGACCAGTTAATATGCCAAAGTCGTACACCTACTAAGTGAAGCCTAGTTCGCCCCATACAGAGCACATGCCTTCTTCACCTGAACATTCAAGTTCACCTAGATAAGCTATTTCCTGTCCATCTCACCAGATGGAACTGAACCTAAAGCCACCAAAGAATGCAGTGGCTTCTCTTCAGACATTTCTAGGGAAGATACCCCATACCACCTAATCTAGTGAGTCAGACATTTTCCTATAATTTTAACATCTCAGCACACTATAAAGCTGGAATGGAGAATGCTTGGAAAGTGCAATGTACAAATAAAAAATAAGCTAGTGGAGGTTTCTGTAGAGCAGAATGACATGGTGACCTGGGATTCTAACCCCATCTTATGAGGAAACACAGAGTCACTCTTGAGGGGCATTGTTTCTAAGCACTGCCAGATAGTTGACTTAAACTATGTCCCATCCCAATCTTAAATCCAGTCCCAAATCTCAGTCCCTACTGTATGGATTGTCCACATAGGAAGTCAGAATTGTTTGAGAGAAAATGGAGGACTCCTGTAAATGGCCAACAGCCCATTATCATCAGGCTTTTCCTTCAGAGCCTCCCCTGACTATAAGGGACACACAGTAAGTCTTAAGAGATGTTTTATAAGGAGGAATCAATCCCCATACTGAGGAGTGCACAACTGCTCTCTAATAATAAATAAATAATAAATAAAAGTGATTCTTGATTTGTGCATTCTACTCTCCATTCTGGAGGATTTATACTATGTATTTAAATTATAAGAAAACTTCTGACCCTCTGGAGTGAGTGGGATGGGATATTTCCTCTAGGAATTTTCCAGGCTAACACTGCTCATAGAAAAGTGTCCATATTCCTTTGCTTTGTGTTCACAACTCTGCACAGTTTGACATACTCTTCTCTGTTCTGGCTGCCCAATACCGTTCCCTCTGTCTGGAATCCCCTCACTTTCTCCCTCCCCTCCCAGTCAGAATCCTCATGTTGCACCTGCCTGTCAAAATCCCACTTGTCTTTCAAGGCTCTGCCCATCTAATAAGGCTTCTGGAAGCTGTTTTGTTTGTTTGTTTTTAGTATTTTAGAAAGAGGGAGAGGGGGAGAGAGAATCTTAAGCCGGCTCCACCCCCAGTCCAGAGCCCGACGTGGGGCTCTATCTCACAACCCTGAGATCATGACCCGAGCTGAAATCCAGAGTTGGACGCTTAACTGACTTAGCCCCGAGGCTTCTGGAAGGTTTTAGACAGATTCTCTTCCCACCCCATACCCCATGGTGATTACTACCTCAACTATAAGCCTCACCACTGTCTCCCTTCCCGAGGACAGTGAGAGTCAAGTGCATGCTGGCACTGTCCAGAGGAGGACCCAGCTTTGGTCACATGGCCTCCCTAGAGCCAGCTCATAGTCAGTGCTCCAGGAATGCTTATCACATTGGATACTTGTTGCTGTTTTCTCTAGAATATAAAGCTCATAACTAGATCCTTTAATAAAACAAGATTAGTTTCAGACTTTTTTTTTCTTCAAAGGCTATGTTAGTCATCCTTTACTCTGGAGTAGTCACAATTTTTGTAAATTTGTACCTGGCAGGATGTTCCAGTTTTTCAAGACTGGAATTTAAACTGACCAGTGTCAATCCCTCTACTTTAACTATCTTAAATGTGTCCTTTCCTTCTAATCACCTACATTTGGTACATTGTCTATGAATTTTTTTAATTGAAAGCTTACGGAGCTTTAAAGACTTTGCCTAGTTTTTAAGTGCCAACGCCTTTGCATTTGAATATATTTTAACTAATTTAAGGATTCTTTTCATCAGATTCTTCCCTAATTTAGCCAGATTTCTTTTTTAATCCTCCCAGGCCAGGAGTTTATTTATTGTGACTAAGTTCTTTTTTTTTTTTTTGTGACTACGTTCTTTTAAAGATAGAAGTTAAAACGGTATTAAATGCTATTTATGGTGTTCTCTGTCGCTTGATTTCTTTCTGCATCTCATAAAAACATGTTTCCTTTTTTACATGTCTAGTGCAATCAACGTTTCCTCACTTTTATGATCTATGCCAGTCACTGGTTATATATCAGCCAACTACTCTGTGTCCAGCCCAGTGTGACACATGCGGAGGATATAAAATATCAAGTACACTGAATTGTTAGCAGTCCTGCCATGACTGGACTATGTGGCTGTGGAAGATGGAGAAATCACCGAGCAACAGAGCAGGCAAGGAAGGCTTCCTGGAAGAAGGTGGGACCTGGACTATGTCACAGAAGCGAGAGCCGATTGAGAGATTGAACAAGGAGCCAGGCCTGAGGAAATGCTTTTCTGAATTGAATATATATACTGTAAGATATTCCACTGAAGAATATACCACAGTGTATTTATCCAGTCTCATGTAGTTGGACGCTTGAGATGTTTCCAATTTCTGTTATCACAAACAGTGCTATAGCAAACTTTCTCCTATGTGTCTTCTTATGTACATGTGATAGTATTTTAGGAGTGGAATAGCTGAGTTATGAAGTATGTACATCTTCACTTCTCTTGTACAAGAGGTTATAGAAATTTGCAGGCTCATCAGTGAATGAGAATTCCCACTACCTTGACAACACTTGAGCGTTGTTGGGTTTTAAAATTGTTGTCAATCTAATGGGTATGAAATGGGATGGCCTTGACGTTTTAATTTGCAGTTCCCTTACATGCTCCTTTCCTTCAGTTCAACAAGCATTTATTAAGAGTCTCTCCTGTGCCATGCACTCTTTCAAAGACTAGAAATACTAAAATAACTCATCGCTGACCCTCACCCTTAGGAGCTCACCGTCTGAGTGATTCCGACCTGGGGAGACATATCAGAATCACTTAAGGTGCATTTTCAAAAATCAGAGGTCTGAGGTAGGGCCCACGCAGCTGCAGTGTTGATCCCATGGTGACACTGATGCTTACTTCCAGCCGAGAACCTCTGATCTCGTGGGAGGAGAAGCCTACTCTGTTCAGTCTGGGCTCGTCTCTGTGGGCAGGGTGAGAGAGCCTCACTCTTCACTGGCCGGCACTATGGCATCCCTTTTATCTTGAGGTTCTTCTTCCAGTTTTATGTGAATGTCTCATTGGGTGTTGGGATGATTCATTTGTACCTATAAAGTACCTCAAAAGCAAATGCTAAACAAAATATAAGCAGAGACCAGATTTCCCGTGACTCCAACTATCTGGGACAACCGTAAACCTGGAAGGAAACAAACAGAAACGAGAGGAGGAGGAGGAGGAGACGCTCACTGAGCAGGGCTGGAGGAAGGCACCCTGGAGCTCACAGCACCTCACCTCCCATCCATGCAGCGCCGGCTCTGCACGGAGTTCTGGTCCTGGGAAGGACTGTCAGCAGCACCCGACTCTTCAGAAGCTGAGACACATGTGGAATGAAGTAGACAGAGAAAAGAGAAGAGGGAAGAAAGAGAGATGACATTGAGAGTTGGCCTTGATGAGAAGTGGTAAAGCAAAAAGGCACTGGCTGGGAAAAGGAAACAAATAAATTAGAGAAAGCTTGTCATCGGGGCAGACAACATGTCACTCCCTGGTAAGCCCTGGGGACCTCAGTGTGCCGCTCTGAGAGCACATCACCTCTTGCCTGTGCACAGTTTAAGAGGTCTGGCCCTTACGTAGGAGGCATTGGGAAAGAGCAAGCTAAGTCTTCCTTGACACTCGAGGCCATCATGTATAATGATTTTTTTCATGTGTTTTCTGTCATCAAGAAAAGGCTAAGCTATTTCCTGTATACTGTATATGCTGAGATGTGAAGGTCTGTCCAAAGTTTAGAAAGTGCCATCAAAATAGCTAAAACTTACGTGCTGTGAGCATTTATGCTATGGTTAGAAATTTCACATACATGGAACAGTGGATAAAGCCAGATTGAAAACCAAACAAACCAACTAAGAAGAAAGGGGGAGAAGGGGAAGGGAATGCATATTTATTTATGACCTGCTCTGCTTTTGTCCAGTCTTGCCAGCAGTGCTGAGAAAAGAATTATCCTCATTTTGCAGATGAGAACATCAGGATTCAGAGAGATGAAATATTTTGCCTATGGCCTCACCACTAATAAATGGTGGGGCTAGGAATTAAACTCATTTTTATCTGACTCCAAAGGCTGTGCTTTTTTCCACCATACCACACTGTCTCCTCCCATATTAGGATGTTTAGAATGTACAGGAGAATTTAGGGATCAGGCTTTAGTTTGGTAATATTACAACCCCACAGATAACCTGTCTTTGTGATCACATCTCACAAAAGATAATGAAAATTTGAAGCCAGCTCAACAAAATCTGGTTAATATTTAGTCTCCCCTGTCACTTAAATGTAGGGCAGGGATGGTAAAAGGAGACACCATTCGATTTTTAATGCCTTGGGTAGGATTACTTCTGAACTGGAAAACTTTCCTTTTATATTTCCTGTAGGCAAGTGCTTTGGATATGTGGTGTTTCACTTTCTAGTGGTTAGAATCCGTGTGTCTCAAAGGTTTAGTGTGCAGTTAGTAAAAGGGTGTCAGTAAGGGGTGGTCAGTTAATAAATGGCAGACTTCATGGGTGGTTTTGTGCTCACTGCAGGGGAAGCCTGGGAGTGAGATGTGAGCAAACTGCTTTTAGGGAGAGTTGACCTCAGATGGAGTCATCGTTAGAGGGGCGTTTACAGCAAGTCAACGTGGGGTTAAAACTGTCTGCTAATGAGGCTTCGAGGAACTGGAGAGACTACAGAGGACTGAAAATGGAAACACCACTGTAACCACCACAAAGTGAAGGCATGAGTATCTTCCCTACTGACCCAAGAACACAGCAATATAGCGTTTGGAAGGTTTGGAGAAATGAAATAATGGCTGACTTGTGAATAAGGATGAAAATATCCGATGATGTGACTCCCAGGGAAGCAATTATGGTTAACCCCTCATTTGTTTGGCATTTTCAAGTATTGAACTGTCTCACAGAACTGCATTTTCCTGACAACTCAGACTTTCCTATTTATGTGCCTTGAATGTTTTCAACCATGCTTGGTGGAAATACTTCTGAAATTGGTTATTCAATTATCCTGCCTTCTTGAACAGAAGCTGCAAGAAATAACATTTCTTTAGATGCCTTTCTTTGACTGCAAGTCTGAGAAGACCTGATTAAAAGAGGTTTAGGTAGTTAGGACTTGCAGTGGTCTCACATAACAAGGAATCCAGAACTGGGCATTCCAGAGCTGATGAATTCAATAGCTCAGTGATGTCAGGCTGACTTTCCTGGTCACAAGGTGGATACACAGCTCCAAGCCTCAAGATCTCACATGACAGGATCTAGGCAAGAATGAAATGGGGGCTTCTCCTTATACATGTTTTTACTCAGAGAGGAAAATATTTCTCAGAAGACCCCTAGCCAACTTCCCCTTGGGTCTCATTGGCAGGACTGAGTCACATTTCCATGCCTTGGTCTCATGGAAGGCTGAAGAGAGTGAATACCCAGCACTTTAGGACTCTGAAGTGGGAGGAAGGCTCTACCCATAAAAAAGAAGGATGGGAGGGCACCTGCGTGGCTCAGTTGGTTAAGTGTCCGACTCTGGATTTTGGCTCAGGTCATGATCTCAGGGTCATGAGATCAAGCCCTGCATTGAGCTCTGCACTGGGTGTGGAGCCTGCTTAAGATTTTCCCTCTCTTCCTCTCCCTCTGTCCCTCCCTCCTCCCTTCCTTCTGTTAAAAAAAAAAAAAAAAAAAAGAATGGAGAATGGATGGCTCTTGGTAGGGAACCAAGAGTGTCTGCCAGGTTACTGAGATTGGGAGTGAACATTACTTACAGTATGGTAATAGCTTGAGGGATGGTTGGGCTTTTCGTTCTCTGCTGAATGGCCCCAGACTGGGATTATTTTTGATTTCCTAAATCTGCTTTTATTTATTATTCTCTCTCCTTTCTCTGTGCCAGACTGCTAGTTACCATTACTTACTGTTCATGTACCTTGTCCTAATCTTGCCATAATTAGATTTTTTTTTTTTTTCTGGAAAGATCCTATGATCAAACTTGTGAGAACTCTGCCCGAAATGTTCTGAGGGAGTATCTGACAGCTGTCCTGTGTGTCACCTATGTGATGTGGTATTGCTTTTGGCTGTTGGGGGCCATTTTTCCATCGTGAGGTCTTTGGAGAAGTGACAAATTTCTAGAGAGTCTTATGAATTTAGATACAACTCTAATGAAGTCGTCTTACGGTGAAAGGATGAGCATTTGGGGACAGTTAAGCTTGTTTACTAGAGAAAGCAAAACTGCATCTGTCCATCCGAATCCCAGCGTGGTGTAGAGAGAGGCAGCGAAGTTTATTGGTCCATATTCGGCTCCTTCTCAAAGCCGCATGGCTGCCAGTTGCCTGGAGAACAAGCACTAGAGCTCTGGGACTGTGACCCGTGAGACTCCTCCCTGCAGCGACTGTCCAGCACAGGGCAAGCTGGTGCAGAGTTTCATGATCCCTGCCCTCTGCCAGGGCAGCAGGGCCCTGTGAGGGAATGCTGTGAAATGCCCAGGTCATACAGAATCGCAAGTGTTTTGGCAGGGACTTGTTTCAACAAGTTCTTGAAGAAAGTAATACTTTGGCAGTGGTTATTGAAATTATACTGAACAAGTGAGGACCATCCCTTCCGTGGAAGGAGAGCTGACCAAAATCAGTCTCTGTATACAGGAAGAAGGAAATAGGAAGCAGTTGTCAAAATAGTACTGACGATGAGTAACTGAACCAAATGGAATGATTCTCCTCTGGGAATCAAACTGGAGCTGGTAGGTGGGTTGTGTTCGAAGGAATCCAATGGTTAAAATGTTCTGTTTTGATCTAGCTGAAGCTGTGAGCCCAAATGGCTTGGAACCCCGGGAGTACCTTCAGAGCAAGTTAGCTGTTTGAAGGCCTGCAGTCTTACTTTATTTTGTGTCAGAAGCTCATGAGTGAGGGGCACCAGGCTGGTTCGGTCAGCAGAGCATGCGGCTCTTGATCTCAGGGTTGGGTTTGAGCCCCACGTTGGGTGTGGAGATTACTTAAAAATAAAACCTTAAAAAAAAATCACGAGTTAGCTTTATAGGCAAACATTAAGTGGCAGAAACATTTGGGGATAAGGAAAACAAGCTTTGTGTTTTGTTTTTTTTTTAATTCTGACTAATTTGTACCATTCAAATCATTCTTATAAGAAAAATGCAAAGTATTTCTCATAAACATTTTAGTTATTAACTCTTTTATGCAGAACATTTTTTAAAGAATATCCTTTTATTGACTGCTGACTGATACAGATAGGATATCATTTAGTTAAGTTGAATAAGGTATTTATATTTTTTGAATTTTATTTTCTCATATGTAGATTACCGACTTTATTTCTCAAGTACTCTGACCATTCCTGCTTTGCTGATCATCCAGCTACTGTGTTCAAATTTTAATATTGGCTTCA